TGCACTGGCTGATATGTCTTGTCTCTTAGTGAAGCTCAGTTTGTTTACTGATGCAAAGCTTTTTCAATAAGACATAGTACTTCCAGTTCAGTACTACCAGTTTAGACAGGTAGTCTTCATAGGTAATGTTAATTCATTTAATATCTTCAAATGTCCCCTATCTAGCTTAGAACTCAAATGTCAGTCATCTCATTGAGATGGTAAATATTGCAAAGCATGTGTTAGATTTTTTTGTCTTGCTTGATGAGCATTAACTGACCCAAATCTGTATGTTCATCACTTGATTATCGATCTTCCAAATCTTTACTGCAAGTATTTATTTGACTTGAACTAAAAAAGATTTGTGCTATCTTCTGCAGAAATCTCTTAAAAATGAATGTTTATATGCTCAAAATCTTTCTTGGTTCTTACTGAATTCCAAACGTTTATATACTTTATGTAAGCAAAATCCCTATCAAATTGAATATGCTTCTAAACCTTCCAAGAAGCATTTAAATCCTGTCATTGAACAAAATTTGAGAGTTTTAGGTACTCAGTCCTATATTCCTTTCTGTGAAATTACTGCTAAATAAGACAAAGCATGTCAGCATGAAATACCTTATCTTTAAATAGAAGATCTTTCTTTTCCAAGCTGGTTATAAAAAAAGAATGGAAATGCAGAAGCAAAGTGTGGGATACATGGCTTCTAAAATGTCTTCATTTGAAGAATCCTGGAAGATTTTAGTTGTTTTTTCATTATTATTTCAAAATGTTCAAATATGTGAGACAATATTTCTTTGCTTTGATATATACAGAAGTTTGGCTTAGTTCCAGATCAGGACAGAACGTTGTGCTAAAGACATAGCAGTTCATGAGGGAGAAGAGTGAGTTGATTTTTTTTCAAGCAACCAGCTTGGTTAGTAATGAAAACAGCAGAATAGAGAGAGGCTTACACGTGAAGAAAAGGTAAAAAAAGCAGTTAATATGTGTGAGGAAATTTATTTTTTAAAAGAAGAGAATAAACTTGATTAATCGGTCATGGGAAGTGAACGTCTGACAAACAAATCAATAAAGATTAAATGAAGAATAACAGTCCTGAAAAATGCATAAGTGGAGAAGTGAACACAGTAGGAAAAATTATGAATAATTTCACATATGTTTTCATTTCCTTTTAGAAGTTATTGACTGAACACCTACTTGGAAAGCAGAATGCAGTATCTTCTAAGATTGCCTCATTTTTAATTTTTTTTTTCTTTTGGAAGTGGAACTGAACCTATCAATTGTAACTGAGTTTTAAGAGAGCTTTACATGTCTGACATCACTGGTTTTGATTTTCAGGTGATAATCCGTGCGTGTACTCGCAAAGTGAGAGAATCTAAACAATGCCTTATGCTTGAAAATGAAGTAAATTTTTCTTTGCAGAATTCAAATAATCTCTTCACATTGTTTCTTACATCTGCCATTTTCAAGCCCGTTTTCTGTTCTACAATCCCTGTTGGTGGTGTAGCTGCAAGTATATTAAGTTTTTCAGAAGACTTGAAGGTCAGTTTATGATTCCACAACAATTTCATCAGTTGGGGACCCTTGTTGGGGACCCTTGTTAAATTTTGAACTACGTATAGCATGTGGCCTTCTCCATTCAAACACTGTCTGGTCTGTGGCAGCTAGTAGTGCAGGTGTCTGAGAAAGCATCTTCCACTACCCCTGCTCCCACTACATGGATATTAAAGATGCTGCCTCTCTTAGTCTGTTTTGGGTAGGACCAGGAGCTGGGTCATTCCCGTGTCTCTTCACAGCTCTGAGAATCGTTATGACCATACTGCTTGCAACAGGCACTTGGGAGACAAAAGGTGTTTTCCTGTCCTGATGAAGCAACTGGATCTTCCTCCTCCCTTTCTTGTCCCTGAACTGAGTCTGTATTAAGGTAGCTATTCAGAAGTGACAGAATTCATCTGGGAGATGGGGTGTTTTGAGACTGGTGTTTGCCAGAGCTCTGCTTCCTCAGGACTAGCTGAAGACTCCACACTCTCTAATCATAAGACTGATTGGCATCTCACTCCCCTGATAAAAGCCTCTGTGTTCTGTGGTCCCACAGCAGTATCTGCATTTGAGTTCTACTTCACAGAAGTGCCTACAAACCTTGCTTACATACTATACACAGTATGCAAGTCACTCCCTTATGCCGTGAATGACTGCTGCTTTTCAGGCCAGACACTTTCCGCGGTGATCGGTGTGTGTAGAGGGATGCAGATTCTTCAGCCTTTGCACCACAAGGCTGTTCTTGTGACTGTATCTTGCTTTGTTGGAGCACACAATTCTGATTTTCTGATTGGGGAGCACACAATTCTGATTTTCAGCTCAGGATCTTAATGTAGTACGGAACTAAAGTCCTAAATAGGAATTAAGAGTTTAAATATTTCCTGAATCTGATGTGACATATTTAGGTAGGCTGTAAAACTGCTGATGACCAGATATTTCATTACCTATATAAAGGCATTGTAAAATTTTGTGGTTAGTTTATCATGCACACTAAATTTTCATATTTCTAGTTCCAGAGTATTTACAGTCAAATGTTCTTGAAATTACTGTTTAAAGACTATTGTTAGTGTGAGATAGGCTTAATGCTGTTCCTTTTTTTTTTTTTTTTTTGTACTTGATAACCACATGGTGTGAGCATCAAGATTGCTTTCTCACTTAAATAGGTAAGTACAAAGTGATTAGTTTACCTTCTTTCAAGAAATAAATGTTAAGCTGTTTCTAGACATTTTGAGGGAAATGAGTATTTCCTGATAGGCAATTTTTTTTTTTTTTTTTTAAAGATAAATTCCACCTTCTCCCCACATACATAGAACATATAAATGACTGAACATTTTTAAAGCATTTTGTATTATTCACTGAACTGGAAATACGCTGATATTGGGGACTTAGTATTACAGGGTTTTCGGGAAGCTCATTACAGGAGATTGATATCCTCATAAGTAGGAACCTAAGCATAAATGCAACATTGTCTCCTACTGGTAGGAGATTTTCATTAAATTTGCTACCTCTTTTATTTGGGGGCAGTCTTAAGTTTGGTTCCTACGGTTGTGTATTATTCCTCCATTTTTCTTCTCTTTCCTTCTCCTTTCTTTCACCTCTGCTATTTTATTTTTTTTCTTTCAACATGAGAATCAGTGAAGATACATATGTTTTATTGCATGTAGTTCTTTCTTTGCTTCTTTTGACTCCTGGCAATACATACTCATGAGCAATTTTCATGTTGCCCCATGGGGTTAAGAACAGGAACAAAATATCCACATAGTGAAACTCACAGTAGATGAATTCCCTTAGAAGGGCTTATTTTCCAAACAGCACCAAAACCAGCTTTCAATTTTTTTCTTCTGGAATCTGTTTTGCTCAGAACCCGAGGGAGAGAAGACATGAAAGATTCATGCCTACTTTTGTTAGTCAGACCATGGGAAGTGTGCTTTGCTTGCTTTCCAAGTTTGGGTTTGCAGGGCATTTGGGAACAGTGTTAATATATAAAATGCTAGGCTGGTCTTGCAAGCCCTGCTTCCTAAATGTTGGTTGATTTCCCTACAGTTCGCCCTTTCATTGTGAGTCAGTTAGTACCAATCTTGTTCAATTTTGAGTATGTCTGAATGTTAAAGGCATGAAACTCAACAATAAATAAATTTATTTGTTTATTACTACAAGTTTAGATCTTGGTCGTAGTACACTCATTGGATGATCTGGTATGTTTTCAGAGACTGAAGTAATGGTCAGAATTCAATTTGAAATTGTGTATTTAATGAAGTCTGTATAAACTTTTTTGACTAGTGTTTTGTTAGTGCACAGAATAATGTAGATTGCTTCCTAGTGATGTTTTCTGTGTTAAAAATGCTTTTTTTTAACTTGCTATGAAGTATGACATTTAAGTCCCATCAGACCAAACCATCTATAAAATCTTCTTATTCAATTAAGAATACAAACACAGAGGAGTACTTTGGATCCTTGTGGAAAGTATGAACAGTATATGCATGTTTTTTAAGAGTGAGAAGCAGTTTGTGGCTGTGCCCCAGGAAGCAGGGTACCGCCAGGAGTTGATCAGATGGGGTTCTAGCCTTACTTCAAGGCACTGCGATACTTACCTGTGTTCATCTTGCACTTCACTGCAATAATTTCTTGCTTGTTTTGACTGTAAACTTTTGGCATAGGTAGAGTGTAGCACAGAAGGAGTCTGCTGTCACCTAGTACTGAGTTTATACCCAGAGGCACTGACTTAAATGTATCTAACGTGTGAAATAGGATGAAGGGATTCTATAGTGGTGTACAAAAATAATTTAATACAGAAGGCATACATTGCATTCACATTAATGTAGTTTGCGTGTCTTTGAAGCAGGTGGTATGAGATATATGGTCACTGGAGAAATTTTTGATTCAGAATGTTTTTCTTTCTTAAATAATAAAAAACTCAAGTGTAATGTTCTGTTCAACTTTGACTCTGTTAGAATTCCTTACCAGACCTGGACAGAAAGAGTACACGTAAAGGAGATGATCTTATTTGATGCAGTTATAGTAACAGACCTTCACTGTCTTTTAAAAGCACTCTTGAGTTATTGAGAAGCAAAGTAGTGAAAATTTTGGGGGAGGAAAAAATTTACATGCATTTCCTTTCCTAGGAATTAATGGGAGTATAGATGTACACTTAATTTTTCAAGTGATGTCCACTTAGATTATATATGTGAAAATTTAAGACTATCAGGAATTTTAAACTCAAAATTACTGTTCATGCTCCTATGAGCATAAAACATCTTGTTCACAAATTGACACTACCTTCTGAAAGGTTTTACTTCAATTAAAAATGTCATCTTCTCCCACTCCCACAGCTGAATTCTAATCATGGGAGGTTCTTGGAGAGCAAACATACATGTGTATGATGTGATTTTTGTGTGGAAGCAGAAGGACAAAGGATATATGACACGCTCCATAAGCATGTATTTAAGTATTACACAAATATAACTTTCACATTTGTGTTTCAGGAAAACCAGATGCCTCTGCTGAAACTCTTCTGGATCAGGAGTGTATAAACCCTGTGAGTTACTCAAGCCAGCTTGAAGACTCTGGATGTGATGTCTCTAATGACTGTGCATTCAGTTCTTTAGGCATAGACTCTGATTTTCACCAATCTGAGCATAATATTGACCCTTCTAAACATTGGTTGGAAACAATTTCCCCATTGAATCTTTGCTGTACGAGCAAGGAGGAATCCCTGACTGCTCCAGTGCAGTTTTTGCAACATCTGCTTGAAATAAGAAAACTATCAGAAGGAGGGATTCTTCAAGCAGACTTCACAGAGCTTGAGAACGATCCTTTCACCATATGTAATTCAGTGTCTCAGTTGCTTGATGGACTGACTGTTTTTTACAAGAGTCCTAAATTTCCAGTTTCAAATGTTCTTACTGAAGCAGTTTCTGTTTTGATCAGTTTAATAACTGATACTAAATTATCTAATCATGTTTTGAAGAAGTGTTTCAAGAAGTTGGAAGAATTTAAGAAAAATCTAATTCAGATTATTTTAAGAAACGGCAGTGTCAACAGGGTAAGTTTAAAACATATTCCATCTTCCCTATATCATTTCAGTATACTGTAATGCTCTTGTGATTTTATGTTTTTATTGTTAGTTTATCTTGTTATATTTTTAAGAATACTTTCAGAGATACTTGTGGTTGTTCTTTTTTTTGGTGACATGGACAATAAATGTTCTAAAACATTTGAAAAAGGTCTTTCTCATGAATGCAAGTTCTTCTAGTCTATTCCTGATTATAGGACTTTTTAAAACTATAAAAATGTAGATTGAAACAGCTCTATAGAAAATATGAGAGAAAATCATATTGTTTCTCTTGCTATATGAAGATATACTGTACATATTCACAAAGTAATGACTATATTTTTTTTTATTCTTTCTTGTGCACCTAGATTAAATAGGTTGATTTGCTTCAGAAGATCTCTGTCACTTTAGACATTTGCAAATCTTGTGTTGAAAGTAAATTGGCAAATGAGTGAAAAATTCATAAATAGCATGTCCCCAGCACAAACAGCAAATAGGACTGAATTGCATTTTGTTTGTATTCATTATTCTTCATTGTTCCATGCATCATCTTGTTAGTTTCCTCATTCAGCTGAAATATCTATAGTCTGTCTTTACAAGACTTCCTGTAAGTAATAAATTCCATTGTCTGTCTTAGGATTTTTAGTTTTCATTCTGTCTTTTAGAGTAACTTGGAACAGACATGATGGTGGAATTGTTTGATGCTTAGATGTACCAATTTAGTGTCCACATGTATGTAGTTACACTGTCATGATAGTAAATGAAGATTGTATCGCTATAATCCAGGGAACCTAAAGAATGCTGACCAGGTACTAGGTCCCTATTTTAGAATGCGCTCTAAAGCTGCCTTTAGCAACATGAAAGTGTAGACATCTGCTACGCCTGTGGACAGATGTATCCGTTTGTCTTAATTTAAAATGAATCCCACTGTGTATTAAATATTTACCTCAGAATGTAAATATCAAATAAATACTATTACCAAACTGGGGGGTGGGAAGCGGATGTGCCTGTATTTTGGTTAGAAAGCATTCAGAAGGAAATCTTCGCATATGGAAGCTTTCCCAGGACTAGGGCTTTGTGTCTCTCATACCAGGGTGCTTTCTATTTCAGTGTTGCCATGGTGTGATACTTAGTTTTTAATTAGAGGTGCCACTGAGCAGTGTTTTGAAAGGGTGTGGACATACATATAATTTGTGTAGTATCAGGGATAGTCATGCAGGTGTAACTCCGTTTATTTTTTTTGAGTGATTATAGGATACAGAACAAAGAAAACTTGAGCAGGCATTCATTAAGGACTTCTTCATAGCAGCTGATGTCCAGTGTTTCCACCTGTTCCCCTCTTCTACCCAAATAGAAAGTTAATAAGTAATTAAAACAATTGTAATTGTAGGAGAGCAACCAAGAGGTTATCCAGAGAAGGATTACTTGTTGATTGTAGGAACCTGGTGAAGCATAAATGAGAGGTGTGGCATCTTAAATGGGAGAAAATATCCTGATAGAGCAGGGGCATTTCAAGTCTGCAAAGGGCTTTTTTAAATCATTCAGGAAGGGTGGAGTATGTCCGCATAATTTGCAAGTGGCATGTTTTCTCTGAATAGCTTCACTGAAACAGATGACTTTTTATGAGAGATTTTATATCTGCTTCCACCAAAATATTGATTTAACAGTTGTTTCTCTTGGCAGCCATTACTTCAATCAAACAGATTCAAATAGTTTGAAAATTGTATAAATCAATTATTAAGGGATATTTGTGATAGTTTCCAGATTTCTAGGGAAAAAGGGAAAATGCTGTGTGTACTAATTGCAATGTTTATAAAGACTTATTGAAGAACCCTTTTTAGAGATTTGGTTTTCTTTAAACTGAACTGAATATGGAAATAAATATGTAGCATTCCGAATTAGTAGTGGAAATTGTATAACTAATTCTTCATGTGCTGTGTACCAGATATATCCCAGGGACTTTATGCTTCAGTTTTAATCATCACTGTTTACTCAAGTGGTGATTGAAATATCAAGATTATAGGTTTAAAATAAAATTACCATTAATTACAAGGCTGTCATCTGGAAAGAGTGGCAAACTATGAATTTTGGTTCCAGGAGAATGCTTAAATCCCTCCAGTATAAAAACATTAGGAATTTTGTTGTATCTAACCTTACTAACTGTCAGAAAGCATTTGTACAGACAGTCACCAGTGCAGCTATAGTATTTGACACAACTTTCTCTCTGCCATCCTCACCTATAAAACTGTCAGGAGTTGTCAAGGAGGACAAAGGCTTGTGAGAAACACCTTCAAAAAGTGAACAAAGAGAGAAATGACTGTGGATTGCACTTAACGCCTCATCTTCAAAAGCAATCTTAGCGCTTTGCTGCAGAGCAAATTAAATAACTTTAAAAACCATTGAGAATTGGAAAAGAGATAATTATCTCTACCGTAGATGTAAAGGAAGAAAAACAGCCGCAGAATTACTTGCTGTAACTGTTGAGTCCTATTGTTTGAGATGTTTCTAATTATAAAGCACTGAAAGCTGTAGGAACCAGCGAAGACATGTACTCAGAGCTTTTCCGCCTGGATTCAGTTGCTTAAAGCTGTGCACTTTTGATAGAATTTTTGACCTGAAACTCCAAATTGACACGAGTATCAAAAAGAAAAACAAAATCTATAATATATGAAAGATAAAAGGAATTACTACTATAAAATCATTTAAATCAAAGAACTACAAATAAAAGTAGCCTCTTGAATTTCCCTGTTAAAATTTTCTCTTCTTCCTTCATGTTTGGAGAGCAGCTCAGAACTCTGCACACAGCTGTCAGAAACATAGTCTTTTGGAAGAAGGCTTCTGGAAATATCTAGAAGGATCCTCAAGTCATGGCTGCTAAAGGTGAAGCATGAATGCTCTGAGGTTGAATCATCTACTTAATGGCCTGCCTCTACACCTTCTGCTGGCACGGTCTTGCATCCCTGTATGGCTGCTACAGAAAAGCTTATGAGGATTCTGTGTCTAATTCTGGTACAGATGAGTTGTTGCTCTCGTGTTGCAAAATCTATGGTTAGTTGCTGCTGATCTTTGGAGCAAGCACGTTGCTTGTCACCAGTTTTTGAGTCCTCAGCACCGAGACTCTTGGACTTCTGTATGGATGTGTTGCTGTCGGTGCATTGCCTTTTGATGTGCAAATTGTTATTCATGTTGAGTAACTGCTGTCAGCAGAAGCACTTGTCCTATTTATGCAGGTTCTTTGCAAGGCCTGCTTTCAAGCAGACAGAAGCATATTACAAGAAAACTCTGCGAGACTGTATTCAGTTTGAGGAGCCACTGGCTCTGCTTTTCAAATGGACTGTTCTACAAAACATGGGAAAATATTTCCCATGGAAAACTTCCAGAGGAGCTATGGTATATAATTACAGCGCCAGTGGAGTAGAAACTTTGTCCCTTCTTCAGAAAGGAAGCACAGGAACATTTTCTTTTTCCTTAATCTACCCGTTTGGGATTTTATAACAGCTAGCTCCATCCACCTCCATAGGGACATAGGAAACGTGCATCTGTTCTGCTCCTAGATGCATCGCTTACTGGACTGAGATGTGCCTGTTCTGTTGAGATTTATCTCTTGTTGTCCAGCATGTATTGGAACAACGGATCATTTCTCCTCTATTAGAAAAATGCAACAGTCAGAGGCACTGGGGATTCCCAACTCCCTGTGCTGTTCAGAATAGCATGTGTGGTTTATGTTTCTGGTGAAGGTTTTGCACAGCTCATTGCATTAGGGCAATTCAGAGAGGACACTAAAATCCTTTTACTTGGACAGCATCCTGGAGCCTTCCTGGAAGCCTGGCGTGGTGAACCTGAGCTGGCTGTATTTTCATGGTATATGGAATTAGCTTCAGAAGTCAAAACCCTAGAACAGAAATTTAGATAATTCATACGTGTCTTATTTACATCTCTCATATATACAGCTGTGTAAAATCTCAAGACAGTTATTATTAAGGAATTCAGAGTCTTGTTTCTTACTTTGAAGACAGAAGAAAAATACTTTTATATCTGGCTTCTTTCAGTGCAGTTTAGCTGTATTCAAATGTTTCATGGCAAAATAGAGTTACAGGGTGCTGCATTACATAGGATTTATGTGATGTGATCCCTAGTGGTGTCGCACTAGTTTAGCAGCATTGTTAACAGAAGTTCAGCTCACTGGTTGTACTTCTTCTAGGTTCAGCTGATACTATAATTTGGAGCATGGCTAATGCATCAGTTATGTGCCAGAAGATCCTGACCTTCACCCTGGGTTCTGTGCAGAGATCTGTGTCTGTTTCTTGGACCTCTTCTTTTAATCAAAACACTAAAATAGAAGACAGTGGTACATTGCCTTCAATATTGTAGAGTAGAATTGTGCGGTGTAGGGCTCTTAGAAGAGACTGCTTTCTGGTGCCTTGTTCCTGTTCGACAAATACCTCATCCTTCTGTCCCACCTCACTCATAAATTTTTTTAAAAGAAGACCCAGAAGGAAAAGAGATGTGTTTCAGTGACCTCTGCCTGTTTGCTGCTTCTCATGCTATATTTAAAACATCAGTATTGACTTTGAAGATGCTGTCAAGAGTCATGAATTACCTGTACTGTTCAAACTAAGCAAAAAAAAAAAAAAAAAAAAAAAAAAAAAAAAAAAAAGTTCTTTTAACCCTTGTCCCCTTTGGAAATTACTTTATAATCACAATTACTTTAGGATAATTGTTTAGAAGTTGTTTTGTGTTAACAGTATCCAAATGGATGCTGAGACATAAGCATCTTCTCTAGGAACTTTTTGTATCCTGTTTGGGACTTTACTGTCTGTTTTTTTCTCTCTTATGTTCCATCTAAAAGTCTTTATGTAGAATTTTGCAAATGCTCAGCTATTACTGTTGATATGTTTAGCAGAAAAGCAAACGCAAGAGTTCTGACTACTAGTTAAATGCCTTTACCCGATGTTTGTGAGATAAAGGATTCACAATTCTTCATGAAAATG